CGAGCTTGGCTAGAATACTGATTTTCGTTCCGTTCGATCGGTCGTGTTAATTCCAGAACAGGGAGCGTATACCACTTATAACTAGACAGAGTGGCTTTACGTATTTAGATACGCATGACTTTTAGTTGGCGCTCGCCTGACGGCTATTCGATTAAGGCTGTGTAGTTTATACAGCCAGATATGGTATTTGTAAACTCCTCTGGTCTTTTTCTCTGTCCCTCACTCACTCACATTCTCTACCATAATACAGCCTGTTGAGACGTACAAGTCGATAGACTGATCTTGCGCCTAATTCATACCTGTTGAACATTTGTACTCGCATACTTTGGCACGAGAGTGGATACTGGACATTTCACCTTCTCTGCTGTATTGCGCGACCTTCCTGGACAAATCAAGCTAGAACGATGGACCAGGCTTCACGTGTTTGTCTCTTGCAAATTTGGTGCAAGTCTAAATTTAGCAGAATCTTCATCCAAATTTAGGTATTAATAGTCCGTAATCCTCGACTTGACAGGGGCCAACATTGATCATGAAAAAAGGGAAACGCATCATTGCTAAGATTGAAGACCCTCGCAAAAAAAAAATCACGTTAGAAAAAAGAGCGCTGGGTCTTTATAAAAAATGCTCGGAATTAGGCGTTCTCTGCGGCCAAGAGGTACATCTCTTTCTGCGAGACAGAGCAACCGGAAGACTGCGGTCATTCTCGTCTTCAGACAATGAGAGTTTCCAGCCAGATTGGGCAAAGATCAGACCAGAAGATCGGAAGAGTTGCCGAGATGTTGAACGTCACTATGGTGTGATTTCAAATCCGATCAACCTGGCGGGAAAATCCAAAGATCCAGCGGCAACGCAACCACAGACATGTAGAAGGGAAATCACTTCGAAATCGATTCCTCACGATGACTCCTATCGGCATAGCGCGGTCTTCTTCGAGCTTCTTCGCGATTCTATTACGCTAATAGATACATTAAAATCTCGTACCAAACCTCCTAGTTTCACAGAAGCGACCGTGAATCTATTCGACCTAGAGCTGAGTCGATTTTGATCACAGAAACCAACAAGTAGATAGTGTGCGTTTCACTGCAACCATGTCCCTTCGAACCTGCTCACGCAAATTGTGCTAAGCTCCCATGGTCCCCAACCCACCGCTATTTACGAAAATCAACTCCAGATTTTGGTAGACATATCCCTCTGGTCCATACACCCGGAATTCATATACTCTATACACCATTCAAACTAGAAATGATTTCTTATTCCTGTTCTTGCGGAAAGCTCTGATGGTATTCTGTATGCTAATTGAAGATTTTCTCGTACCGCCTATTGTATACTAAGCGTATCAAGAACGTAATATAAGATTCTACTCTAGAAGTTCCTCACGGGGGCTAGCTCGTGGGGTGGTGGGATGGAGGTGATGGGGTGGTCATGAACCGGATAAACTGGAATTTACCGGTTTCTCTTGATTTTGAAAGACCTCAAACCTCACGGGGTGGAGGCCATGCGGTGGCGAGATCGATTAAACTTGTTTAAGATTGAAAAATACTTGACTAACTTTACTACAACAGTTTAATTCGGTTATTTCACCCTATGATCTCTAACCCTATAAGGTCAATATAGAGATTGTATGAGGTGGTGAAGGTGGTATCAGGTTATATCAGGCTATAATAGGTTACATGATTCTAAGTTGTCGTATTACTTAAAGTTAGTAGGAAGTGATTTTATACTTGCATCCGTTATAGGATCTACTAGATAATCTTAGTAGACTTCGGTAATTATTCAGAACTTTATTAAAGATTTATCAATTTATCAGATGACGAATAATATAATAGAATTGTAAGAAGAGAAATCAGTACCGTCTCTTGGGAGCTCGGGTAAGCTTGGTCGGGGACTTGGAAAACGGGACCTAAGGATACCCAGGATGGGTCACGTGTTCCGCGGTGGCCGCAGCCGGCCGCAAATCAAGGACGTCACGACTGAACGAAGGACTCGCAGATTCCCCAAGGATCAACTATCAGAGGAAGACAGTCTGTAGGGGTTCATGAGTCAGAGTTGTCATTTTCCAATCCAGTCCCCCCGGGCTAATCCCTTTCGGGAAGTATCCTTATAATATGACTAATAATAGGAGATACCAAGTTTTTTCCATGTATTTGTCACGGCGCAAGTCATACGTGGTGACTCAAGACGATTCACGATCGAATCGACCCCGCGTCGTCTTAGGGTAACAACCCCAAGAGCTCTGTGTGGGGCTGTGGGGACTCGGTACGTGGAACCTCTATGTATATATTGTGGGAACTGGTGGAGCCTGCCAGACCCCAAGATTCAGTCTTTGAAATCAGACCCCATAGACTTGGACTCTCTGCCTAGCCAACAGGTCCTCTGTCCTGCGATACAGACCCCTTAACACCTCTCCTCTCGCGGTCAGTACCCTCGTTTACTTTCAGAGCGGGTTGAACTTCTTTCCCGGGCATGCTTACGCCCGTCCAACACCAAATCGTAGACCGAGTACATTTGACGAGCAGCGAGTGCTTTTGCTTTGATCGGAATTCGAACTGGTCTAGAAAATTTGAGTCTTCCTTACCGGCACCAGTGACTTAGCACGTGCCTCGTACTACTGGTGTGTAGTCTAAAGGATTTCAAATCATTTCAGGGTTACTTGGATAGTACTTCCGGCCTCGATGTTTGACCGGAGAGTTTTTGAAACGAGCTCTTTGTCTTGCCCGACTTAACTCGAAATTCTTGCAGTAAATTTCATTTTGCAGTACACCGGCAAATCGACAGACAGAATCAATTACCCATTGACCATTGCTAGGCACTCTATCACTCTGAGCCCCGTCATTTCTTCTCCCGTAGCATGTGCCTATCACATCATTTATTTGAGATCTTTGTGTCTCTGTGTGGGGATAGTACTGTTACATCGAGTGTGTGATAGCCTTTCACAAGCCATCATCATTCTTCAGCAATCTACGCAACCCCCTGATTTTTTGAGAACGAAACAAAAATAGTCCATCTCATCCTATACAATGTTGAGCCAGGGTAAATCTATCATGACAGCAATGATCATCTCATTGTTGCTTCCAGTGGATGTTTGGCCACGAACGACCCTTGGACTGCTGTAAGATATTAGGTAAAATCTGACTAGAAGGAGGAAGATGACGTATATCGAAAGGAAATCTCAAATACACAGTACAGAGTAACTTTGGTTGGAAATAAAGATAATCTGTATCTAATTCCCTCTCTTCGTACGTTTCCAACGTATCCACCCCAGCTACGAGCGATAGCGACGTGAAGCGGTTGCGACGGCGGGGGATATACTTTTTACTCTCGCTTATGGTAGGTGGATCAGATGTCAGAGTGAAGCTAGGAGTATAAGTAAAATACGGTTCGAGTTGCCTCTTAGATATCTCTTCAATCTTTTCTTGCGAACGAGGATCCCGTGGCTCTGGAAGAACGGTTTCTTCTGTTCTTGAATCCTCCCACTCGAGGCACAATTTTCTGATAACCATCAAGGAATTCTCTCGTTGATCAATTGTGCGTTCCTTTAGAGACACATCCACGTTTAAATACCTAAGAATATACGATAAGTCCTCTTTGATTGCAGTTGGAATTCTGGCGTACTCACCTCGGCTTCGAAGTTATCCCTCAACTTTTTCAATGCTCTCCATATTTGAAGCATATGCCCTGCGTTAACAGCGGAGAGATGCCGATTCTGTCTGAGTAGTCATGTACCACCCCGTGTATTACCTTGCGAATGATTTCAAACATGCCTGGAGCCACTGAAGCTGAAGTGATAGGGATGTGAAGCTATCATAAGTATGTAGAAAGTCTCACCAAAGCCCGAAATCTCGATTCACTCCGCAAAGGTCGAGATATTTATCATGCCGAAAGACGAGTACCTCCAGCCTGAATTCGACGAAATCTAGTTCTTCAATATAGCTAACAATAGAATTCGTTAGCAAAAAACAGCAATTGAGAGAACGGTCAAATTCACCGGGCTAAGCGAGATCTTCGGTGATAAGATGTTTTAGTCGCTGGAAGAATGATGGACTTCGAAGGGGATCAAGTCTTTGCTCGCGGTCAAACCCGAAAAATGTTAACAGCAATCTGCTTTTCAATAACACTCTTGTCCTCACTATTGTACTGGACGGTCTCGTTTCTGTGAGGCCTATGCTGTCGTCACCTTTAGTACTACTTTGAACAGCGACTGGTCGCCAGCACGGCGCGGGTAGCTGGATGCTACTTAAGGCAAACCTGGGAGATGACAAAGGGGAAGTCTCAACGGCGTGCTTGTTGAGGCTGAGCCCCAAATGTAATGGCCTGTTCTTTCTTTCGTCATCTATGAACGGGCAAGGTGGCTGTTGATTCAGCTCGGCCTCGCCGCCCTCGCGCATATTTGACTGTAAGAATTCATCAGCTTTTTTTTATTTTTAGAGGTAATTGGGGCAGTGGCTTTTAGTCATATAGAACTCCATCAAAAAGGCTATGTTTTTGACTTTCAGTGAGGCAAAGATTGTTGTTAACTGAATGGCGTTCTGTGTGAAGAATCAACAAAATCAATGTATCAAGTAAACTGGTGGGTCTGGAGCTCTAAGGCGTTAAATTTTCTGAATAAAGACATTAGCGAGAACGCTCCTAAATCACCACTCAACAACTGAAATGAAAGACCAATCCGACTCGTGTAGTACACCACCGACCGATATGTCTTGCAGGACTGCGAAAGAGCACTGCTATGAACGGTGACGAAACAGCTCACGATAAGATAGAGGAAGAGACGCATTTCTACCAACGTCCAGAATGTTCCAAGAGCGATACTGAAAATATTAAGCACGACAGATCTCAGGATCTTGTATGTTTAAATTCTATGATCTTGCTATATTTACAAAAGCTCAGAGAGCTATGAATAGTGCAAGTATATGGAGTGATACCTTATAGCCTTGTTTCTGTATAGCCCAGGCTAGTCTTCAAGAATCCTCTTATTGAAACAATAGAGGGTGTTAAATTAACGTCTACAGTGTCCCTACGTACGCGTTCGAGTTGTAGATTCCATCTAGGCACACATCTGAAATGTCTCGCGAGGCTGTACCGGACAAGATGACCCCTCCGTCACGTGAAACAGTAAAACGCTGACGACCTACGCCCATCGGGCATCTGTGGGCACTAATTCCTGATGGTGCGCTAAGCGTGATTGATCGCTCCCCTGATTGAACGATAATTTGTGCGGGTGACTGAAGGAAAGCGACAATAAAGACCTCGTCTTTCAAAGTCTCGTAACCGGCTGGTACATTGATGCTCAGTCCAGTGGATGCGCTGGTCATGGCACATTCTGCGCTTTTCTTTGTAGTTCGATACCAGTAAACGATGCCATCCTTTTCAACTGAGTTATAAGGAATTTCTGAGGATCCAGCTTTATACGCGCTAATAAATGGCTTTAACATATTCAGCCACCCGTCGTGCGGCCTATCTTGTGTCAGTTCGGGAAACCAGGATTATATCAGAGCGGCGGAACCTTACATGCCTGCAGTCCATCGCGAAGAACCGTCGTCTGTATGAAGCGATGAAAGAGGTCCAATGTAATGCGATTCACCATAGTCATTCCAGCTGATTATCTCGACAAACTGGGGCCGCAGGTGCAAAATCTCGACCCAGCGATCATACCACAAGAGATCGGACGGAAAAACCCAGTTCTTGTTTAGGGGACGATCTGAAAACTGAGTGGAAAACCAAGGTGAAGCCGCTGCGTCAAATCATTAGCAGTCGCACTACAAAGCTCTCTTGAATTAGCTTACGTGCGATATATGGCTTCCCGTTCAACTCTTGATTGTACATTGTGTCTCCTTCGCGAACGGTGATATTATGAGTGGGGGTTGGGGCTTGGTTGTCACCATTGCTGGGCCAGGCCATCCAATTGAATGCACCGTCTATTGTGTTGAAATCTCCGACACCAGTGTGGAAGTTTGGGGCGAAAAATATGTCCAGACCTGCGGCTGTTCGAATGGACTCAACATTGACGCCATCACCTGCAAAGGAAGACACGAAGACCTTCCCATCAAGTCGGAGCTGTGCAGGTTGATTAGCGTACTGTCTTACCTTGGCACCTATTTCATTTCCCTGTCCTATCCCCCAGTGATTGAAATCGAACGATAAGAATAATTTCATCTCATTATTAGCAGCGGATTCATACGCAAATCCAAGTTGCGTATCAGTAAAAGAATCTGTGCCAATGTTCATAGCGAATGCATCTATACCTGCCTCTCTTGCTCGTCTCATATCGCCGTCGTAGTCACTAACGCCTTGGCGATTGCTCGTGATCCCGGTCTCGTATGTTTATGTCAGCATCATCCTATCGTCTAATCACTCCAACTCACCATGAAATGACAGAACACGAGCTTATCCATCACGCCTCCGCCACTAGCTATCGTTGTTTCCTCGCGACTTGTCAACATCGGGATATTGTCAGAGATTGCGTTCAGATACATAGGTTTTCTGGCCATTCGAACAACCCGCAGGCACGTTCTGTTATCGGAAAAGGCAAACTGTAAAATAAGTACCAGTCTACCAAGAAGAAAGAAATTTTTTTCAAAAATAGGAAATCTGCCCCGACTCTATGTCTGTTAGGTGGGAGTCCATCCAAAACGGGCAAACTACTCAATTAGCACTTCGTGTAAGAACCATAATCAGCACGTTCTAGATCGTGAAACAGCCTTTATCTGACGGCTTTTGGCCTCCTACCCACTTATGTCAAAAAATACCTATCAAGTCAGGAGAATACGATCATCTAAGACTCAATAGTTTCAAACACAGGAAGAGTTTAACCAAGGACGTCTTCTACAGATGACTGATAAATTGCAATACCCTCGCTACGATGCATGTTTTGAGATTCTCTGGCCTTCGGACAGAGCAGCAGTACTCGATCGCCTGTGTTCGCGTGATATTTGGCAGTACTTCAGGTAAATTTTACAGTCTCGTTCTGACCATAACATACGTGCCGCCGCAACCATGTATGTCCCTTCGAACCCGCCCAAAATTGAGGTACTTTGGAAGACGACGCCAGCATAGTCGACCAGTAGCTCTCAGTCTTTTAATTTCAGTAAGAATTAAAATTAATCAATCTCTGACTCCGCACTGTTTACCCTCTACCCGTGTTTGCATGGCATGTGATTTTGCCAGTCACCACAGTCCATAGCTTAGGTAGAATCTCTCCCCCACAGCAATCTCACTCCTTATCCCTCTCACACAGCGGTACTACTGCCCCTACAGTAGCCGTATCCCATCATTATCCATGCAACGTATAATCAAAGCCAAATTGCGAGTGTGTAAATCTACTTTAGCTGAGAATTGTACTGATTGTCACCAAGTGAGTGAGTTACTGTACCTCCATATCCAATATCTCGTTGGTGTGAATGATTAAGCTCGGCAAGACTTTGCTTGGTAATGATTTTGCTGCAAATGTCTCAACTTGTTGTCAGCATATGGCACCTCTAGCATATGTTGTCCAGGAACTGCGGGCATGCACGGAGAGGCAGGCGTTTGGGAAGATTCAGCACCACGTCGAGTACATGAATATGAACACTGATATACTGTAATTTCTGCTCTACAACCAGCCTGACAATCTGGAGCTATTCTGTGTAATAATCGATGTTGGAAGCCCGAACGCCGTGATACTTCATCAACCCCAGTCAGTCATCATGTTCCGCATTATAGTTTGGTCATCGAGCTGCAGATGGCCCAGGGATCAACCGGAGTGAAGGCGGGCCCAGCTTCGCGATAAGTCGTAACATGAGGTGCGAGAATTGGGAGGGAGGTCCACCCCCTCACAGCCACGCACTCACGCTGACCGGCCGCACGGGATCATCGAACACGCTCCGATAGACACTTTCGATCTCACTGAGGTAGTCCTCCACGCTAAACTTCTTCAGCCCCTTACGCTGTAGGAGAATCTCTTCCTCATCCGTGACATGAGTAGCGCTAAATTCTTCGGCCACCTTGTCTATTTGCGCTAGCTCTTTACTGAATGGATGGTTGTCCGTAAAAGGGACATCCTGTGAGGCACGGATGGTCGGGTTACTGCGCGGGGCTACTAATGGCGGGGGCGATATCCCGTGCTGCGAGCGCTGGCGCGCTAACTCTTGGTGCGACCGCTTCGTGTGAGATAAGGCCTGCTGAGGAATCAAAGGGGCGTCGTTGGACGAACGAGACTGGCTGGTCACGGTCGCGGAGCGCTTGGGGAAATAGGATCCAGCATTGTTATTCACGGGGAAAGGGTCACCTGGCGACTCATCAGGAGTGGTGATCGAGGAGTAGCTCTGAGGGGATCCCGTGTCGAAATCGTCTCCCGATCGCAGCGAGGAAGATGAGGAAGAGGTATAGGGTAGGATATCGGGCGTATCGTATGCTAACATATCGGTCGTGGAGATCAGCTGCACGGGGCCTGAGATATTGCTGCGCTTAATAGAGCCGGAGTTGAACCGTATATACCCTTCCTTGCGATAGGGCATGGGGCCGGACACCTCCGGTCGCTTGCTCCGTTTAGTGGAGGCGCGAGTCAGAGTCGACACGTCAATACGTCAACTTGAGTCAATTAGTCAGTAAAAAATTTTAATTAGTTCTGAATGGGGGCAAACAACTTGACAGCGACCCTATAACTTGACAGTTGACATCCATTTAGGCTACCTACCTTGTACTGAAGATCTGGTACCGCGGTTCGCGGGGGTATAGTGCTAAGCCCACTTCGACTCGCGGAGTAACACCTACTACCTTCCGCCAGGAACATGACATGACGGACATTCCTTCTACTGTTGAAATATCTCTCCTTCTACATACATCAACGCTTCCCATTCTGCCACAGCCGGCTAATTAGAGCACAGGAATAAAATTCCAAGCACTTATATGAGAAGCAACTTCTCGTTCCACTCGAATTTGCAATTACTTGAATAGCATTAGTAGACTAAGAGGGATACCGATTAAGTCTCTACCAATTCACAAATACCGAGTTACTAGACTATCCAATGTATCCATTAGGTGTAATAGAATATCGGAACGCATACACTTATTCTTCGGATCCACGTCGGATCGGGAAAGAGTCTTGTGAAGACCAACGCAACGACCACAGGGGGAAACTGAACGACAACCGCCCTCCTCGATACATTGGTATGAACGGTTCCTGGTGATAAATATCTTTGAAAATACGCTTACAGTAGTAGTATCGCGAAGAGACGACGGCATAAATAAAAGACTAGCATCCAGAGGGCTAATACTATCTGCGGACTTTCGTAGTCAAGTCTGGGCTCCTCAGACTCTCGACTAACCTGACCGGTATTGAACACCCGTCAATACAGTAGTTGGTCCAGATCCTAGTCCTACGTAACATAAGGAGCCTGATACCTAGTATGTGGAAAGATCCACCGGACTCCTCTCGGTTTAAGTAATACACTGAAACGCTCACCGTCAGGCATTGTCAAGTCTCCCCTATCATTACATTATCTCCAAATCTTTCCTGTGAATTTAAACTAAATACCCAGTTAAAAATAACACTCGCATTTAACTGAGAGGGTGCTAACGCAGGCCAAACCTTTTACCTTTAAGTCTGAGTCAATCATTGTAGAATGTCAGGTCGCGATCATGATACACTGGCTATATGTATGTCGAGCGCCAGGTATGGTATAGTACCACCATCACTTCTTAAAGGCTTTCATTGTACCCTCGAGTCAAATGGACGAGTAAGGTAATCCGTGAACGATGTTGAGTAGAACAAAAATCTATTCTCTTTTCTCGTGATTAGAGGGATGCTTGACGCGAGGTTCAAATCTATCGCAAATTTCTTACTTTCAGGGGTTAATGGACCTTCATGCCGGCACTATCGCGCGCGCCGCGATATAGGTTTAAAAATACACTTTTGGTTTTTCCCGACGGCATAGCAAGAGCTCAGCGCCTCATTCAGATATCCTCCTATTTTCAAATCCTTTGTCTCACAGGAGAGGGGTTCTCGCTTAGCCGACGCTACCTCAGTCCGCGGACGTTAAAATAACCCTCGTGGTAGCCACCCCTTCCGAGGTTGAATCTAAGAATTTGCTAGTCGAACCAAAAAACTCTACTATATTTTCGAAAGAGAACCTACACTCACACAATTTGATAAATTACTCACATATCTGGAATTATATAATCATATGGGTGACGGGAGAAAAGTCAGTGGCAGAGACCGCTTATGTCTTAAAACTGATTAGTATCTATTCCAGTACTTATAAGCTCGGTTCGCAAGTACTGCCATTTTGTCATCACCGTGCACAGTACCATACGGATCAAGTCACGCTTATAACACGATCATTGTCCGGTATAAATGGTGTGCGCTCACCTAATAGCTGCATCTTCGCCTGTGTAGCAGGAACAACCCAGCTTGAAAGAGCGGTAAATTGTCCTACGATGAGAATGCCAGACTGCCGTAAATACCGTGGTATAAGGATTAAGTAAGTTCTATCGGATAGGTTTCTCTGGCCATGTGAACTAATGATTGAACAATGGTTTCCACTGAAAGTGATAATCAGAAAATCCGAGGGGCTCATCGAACGTTGCTTCCGCCGTTACACTCACTCGGTCGTTCACTCCGCGAAGATCCGAGTCATCAGGAGGAAGTAGAAAAAACACAAAACCTCCACCACTATGAAGAGGATGATTTCTGCATATTCGGTCTTGACGGTTTTGGTTATCCAAGAGTCGTGATGCCGAGTTTCGCTTCTCAGTCAAGTTCGTTGACGGAGTCGGAGTCATCGTCGAAAGAGGAAGCGTGAGACTTGTGCAGCGATAAGAATCGATCAAACACGTGGTCCAATGAACCCAGATCTCCTGTTGTCTGGTTCAGACTTTCTTGTCCGGATTTTGACAGACACAGTTCTCGTTATACCCCAGCTATCTGCACCAGGAAGCGGCACTGAGGCTTGTGCAAGAAGTAAATGATTCCGCTTCCTGCCCTAGCGGACTCAAATTTCAAGCAAGCTTATTCTGAATATGTGAAACCTTATTATTTTACCCTCCCTTTCAGCTCTTCGGTTTGGGCATGAATTACAAAAGGTGAAACAGAATCCTGTGTGAAGTGGCGACTCGAGTGCAGTTAGATGGCTTTTACTACGCTCCACGAAATCTCACATCCGTGCGAGGCAAATAAGGCCTCACCATCCCAACCCAGCTCTTGCCTTCCGTGCCTGTGAGCCAGTAAGAACGGAAGATATCCGCGCACCATATGAGAATAAATCACGATTTTGTGCTTCAGTGTACAATTGTCTTTGAAGCAGTGTAGGGACGTAGATAACAGAGTACTTTGTTCACATTGATGGAAAATCAAACAGTCCAGGGAAACCACCGACAGTCCTGAGGGACTGGGGCGCACCTAAGGCAGGTGAGCGAGACGCCAATATTCTATCTTATTGAGATCTTAAGTGGCTCTTCCAACCGTGGATGACCCCTGTATGATAAGATTCAAAGGTGTTTTTTTCTTTTCTTCGTGTACAACTAGCTCGGTGTCAAGTCATGTATATGTTCCTGGATGCTAAGTATACGTGAGTGTTAGAAGAGGTATCACCTTCATCAACGAACATGCCATTGAGGTCAATATGGCGGATAATTTCCGGTGAGAAGTGGGGAGGACAGTAACTAACTTGGCCAGCAGCAACCCTAGTCAACACATTGCTCAAATAAACAGTCGTCTACGTCTGAATCTGGTTGATTGCGATCAATGGCTAGCAATGAAAATCACTTATCTACTGGTTTGAAACAGTGACGAATTTCAAGCCAATCTCAGGGACTTGCGTTTGGGAAGTCACTACCGCCATGTGGGTGTTACGAAACAATCCCTGCCCTATGCTTAAATTGTCAAGAAACTGGTCGACTACTGACAAAATGATCAAGTCTTATTGCTATACAGAACGGCATTGGCTTCTTTTCAGACATCATATGGTTTGCCAATTCTAATCCACAATTCTGCTATCTTGGTGCATAACATACGGCCCGTGGGTTCTCAGTGGTGCACAATCACAACGCCCATCATGCTAGTACACCTAATCAGGACATGAGTATCTGGATGTATGATTGTCACCAGCTAGACTCCAGGGCGGAAAACGCTGGCAGAACATGGGCTATTGTTAAGGCACCTGGAATTTGAGGTGCATTACCTGATAATCGCTCTGTGCCAATTGGTGAGAGGTAGTTGATCGTCATTTCAGGAGACCTTAGCCCTAAAGGAGAAAAACAAGGTGGACAAGGTGAAGGTAAGACAAAAAATTCTTTCCCCAAGATGGAAGCTTTCACGTCCATCTTATGTGTCTTGATTTTTCGGGTAGTCTTGTCCGTTTCGATCGCGACCCCTTCTTCAAAACCGCCAAACTTGTTCGTGCGGCCATTTTCTTTTATTCAATATCAAAAGACATTGCCTAGGTGACCTACGACAAAGGAAACCGTCAATGTGTGTATTCAGTAAAACGGAGGTGATATTCAATAGAGAGCACAGGGTACCAGAAATAAAGGTCAATTGATATTCGCACTTTTCCGCCAGATCTTCAATAACTAGAGAGGACAATTTATGGAGGGGGGGGACTGCCACATTGAAGATAGGGGGATCTGTTAGCCAAGACTATGAGAGACCCAATCAAGCGGCGAGTTTCATAGCGAGCCTAGAGAAAGCACTTGCAGTACGCCGCATACCTTGCGTTATCCCTCAGAACGATCACGTGATAAACTTGATATAATATGCTGTCGAGGCTTTCTGTTAGAGTGAACGTCAAGTCTCCAAATCGAGGTCTCTCATCCTACTGGTGTACATTTGACCGGCCAAACAATCCTCAGTTCAGTACTGTCTATAGCCATAGATAATGAACTGCAATATCTTTGAACGAAAACTATGTGCGCGTGAATTGCACTCGTGACTCGCCTTCAGATCTTTATTTGGGGCCCTAACACGAAAGAAGGATCGCGTCGCGCGCGAAGCTTTCTTCGACACGGGCCAAGGAAGCGCAGCCTCTTTGTTTGTTCGCTGGCAATTGGTATGGGTTTACTACACAATCGCTCTCAGAACATTGTGAAATGCCGTTGAGTCTGAGTCTGGTTGGTATCGGTATTTATGAAAAGTCAATGTAGGACTCTGGCAACATCGCCGGAACCCCTCAGGAAAGAGGATTTTTGACAGGTCTATACATGGAGCTGAGATTTGTTGGAAAGTCAGGAATTTCAACCTCCATCTAAGAGCGAAATTATGAGCTGTGATAGGAATGTAATGGGTTCTGTGGGGTTCCGAGCTCTGACATGGGTCTGATATCAAAACCAAGTCTCAGAAGAAGATCGTATTCTCGCTTCATTTTTTTTCCTGGTTGGCCAAGTAAGTGTACCGAGGATATACCTAAGTTCCAATCAAGACCCTCAAGTATGATGATTGCCCATCTTGCCATTTCTCCTCTTCTTTTCGAGACCCATTTTTGCAGAGCAGGTGTACGTTTCCCGTACCGGCGGATTACTA